TGTATTAAATTAATACATGTAACTGAATATTAAGATGAAAAACAATTTGCTATTGACTGCCAAGTGGCTAGATCTGTTACACTCGGGCCTATAGGACCTCGAACCTCTGACCAGTCTTACACGGTCTGCAATACCTTTTAATTTTGGATGATTGACCATTCCATGGTGAACAAACCTTACTAGTTTGTTTTTCCTCCATATACCTATCTACTGCTTGGTTGAAAATTGGACCCTGAGGATGATTTCCTTTCCAGACCTGAAGGGTGGTAGAGAGCCATAGGCTCTGGTTCCTCCAGTCTCTTTGTGACCAGTAAGCCTGGTCTTCCTTTTTTCAATAATTTTGAGTTTTGTTCCACATTTTCTCCTACTCTATCTGAGATCTTCTAATGTGATCCTTTTCAGAGCAATTGGTAATTTTATCCAGATACCACCTAGTTCTTCTGGTCTCAGAGTCATGGAGACAGATGTTCATGTGTTCCATGAATCCACTGGATTAACTGCTTACAAGTGTCTTTAATTCTCGTCAGTCTTCTCATACATTGAGAGACCAATAGTTGCACCTTAGATAACTGTTCATGGGCTTTCAAGGTCCTATTCACCAAAGTAGGATGTGGAACACTGTCCTTATGGACTATGTTATGCCAATTGACTATGGTATTCCTGGAGACCATGGTTCCCAGGTCCAGCAACTCATTGCCTTAAGTTGTTTGACAATAACTAAGCAATTTTGCTCCTTTTTATCCCTGTATACTTCACCAGTGAGTCCTGATGTGGCATTTTGGAATAAGCACTGAACCATGAGGGCAGTTTGAATTGTAAGGTCAGCAGTTCAAACTTACTAGCTGCTCCTTGGAAACCCAATCCAGGGTTGCTATGAGTCGGAACTGACTCGATGGCACTTAACAACAACTGCAATGCTTGACCACATTCATAGTTATGTTTGAAGCAAAGGTAAATACTCTGTACAAATGTCCTTTCAAACAGGGATACTGATAGGTTGAAAATCAGAAAATGTGTGCGCCATTGTTGTATTCTTTTACCCTACTTGTGCAATCTGCATGCTGAGAAAATAATTTGAGCAGCTGAATTGTATGAGTAGGAAGGTGGCATCAAGATAGGAGGGAAAGCTCATTATCAACCTGTGATATGCAGATGATGTAACCTTGCTTACTGAAATGAAGAGAACTTAAAATATATACTGATTAAGACCAAAGACTACAGCTTTTATATGGATTGCACCTCAATATAAAGAAAACAAAAATCCTCACAACGGGGCCAATAAATAACATAAATGTAAATGAGGAAAAGGTACAAGTTGTCAGAGACTTTGTTTTGCTTGGATCCACAATCAATACTCATGGAAACAACAGTCAAGAAATCAAATGATGTATTGCATTAGGCAAAACAACAGTCAAGAAATCAAAGGATGTATTGCAAAGGGCCTCTTTATAAAGTATTCAAGACCAAAGATGTCAGTTTTAGGACTAAAGTGAATCTGATCCAAGCCATGGTATTTTAAATTTCCTCATATGCATGTGCAAGTTGGACAATGAACCAGAAATACAGTAGAAAAATTGATACATTTGAGTTATGGTGTTAGAGAAGGGTATTGAAAGTACTGTGGACCGACAGAAGAACAAACAAATCTGTGTTGGACGAAGTAGGGCCAGAATGCCCCTTAGAAACCAGGATGACCAGACTTTGTCTCTCATACGTCAGACATTTTATCAGGAGGGACCAGTCCCTGGAGAAGGACACCATTCTTGGTAAAGTGGAGGGTCAGAGAAAAAGAGTAAGACTCCCCATGAGATGGATTGACACTTGCAGCAGCAATGGGCTCAAATGTAACAATTGTGAGAGTAGAGCAGGATTTGGTAGTGTTTTGTTTTGTTGTGCATAGGGTCACTATGAGTTGGAACTGCCTTGATGGTGGTACCTAACAACAATTACACTGAATGCAAATGGATTGACTGCCCCAACCATAAGACAGAGTAGCAAAATAGACCATAAAATGTGTTGTTTATAAGAAGCACACCCTAGACACAAGACAAATACAGACTAAAATCAAAGGATGTAATGAAATATGTCAAGCTAATGGCAATCAAAAGTGAGGAGGAATAACAATATTAATTTCTGATAAAATAGATTTTGAAGCAAAGGCCAGAATTTTGTTTGTTGTTGTTAAATGCTTACGAGTTGGTTCCAACCCGTAGTGACTCTGTATAGGGTTTCCGAGGAAATGCTGGTGAGTTTGAACTGCTGACCTTGTGGTTAGTAGGAACATTTTCAAGATTAACCCATATGTTGGACCACAAAGCGAGCTTCAATAATTTAAAGAAGAAGAAAAAAGAATTCATCTATGAAATCATTGAAAACATCCATTAGAAAATGGACAAAAGTCCTATTAGATATTTTGCAAACTGGAAACAGGCTATCCAGATGCTAAATGAATATACGAAAAAAAAAAAAATTAAGTAATAATAAACCTAACTGAAAACCTAAAAATAGACCAAGTCCTACTCCTAGCCCTAGCCCAACACTTTCACATAACTCTAACAGAAAAAAGAAAGAAGCAGCTAATCTCTAAAACTCCTGCTTCCATTATGTTATTGCTAAACTATTTTCTGTTTTCTATGGAGCTTGGGATTTTACAAATTAAAAAAAGAAAAAGAAGAAAAGAAAAAAGAAAGTAAAAGCAAAAACATCAAAACAGAATCATGTTAACATCACAAAATATCCTGCTATATTTGAAAGACTTGGAAGTTGTATTCCTTGGAGAGTTTCCATTGGGAAATGAAATTGTTTTAGAAAATGTCATCTTTGCAGTTGTAAATACTGTGTTGGACCTGGATCCACGGAATGCTCTGATGTCATCCTTGAGATCAGAGAATCCTATTGCCACCCTTGTGACCTTTGAACCTTAACAGCCGTGCAGTGTAATGAGTGCTGGGCAGTATTGCTGGTTCACTAAATTGTCTGCACTCTTCTGTCATTTGGGAAACTTGATTAATTTCATTCATACTGAATCATTTCAAGGGAATCCTTGAGTGCCAAGAAGGACTAACCGGTAGGATAAAGGACGAGTTAGTCATTAGGCATCTCCTAATGTATCTCTGGTATTATGAAACGAAGACAAAAGAGGAAACATCTAGAAAATGAAGAGTCCCAGGAAACTACTGAGAAGGGAGAAGGTATGTGCTGGGCAATCTGTCTGGGGTATAAGTGTTGTTGAGCTGCCTGAGGATGGTGGAATTGACCTGGTATGGACTAGTGTGTCCTAGTATAAGGGTATTGATATGGACTGCCATATCTAAGGGTATCACTGCTTTAAGAAGTACACAAATTCCAGATGCCTCAAATTTTGCCAGGCTGACACTTCTCCAAGGCTTACTTGTATTTGGGCTTCTGTCAGGCACATAGGAGGCTGAATCTCATGGACAGACTTAGAGTTGCAGTTTTTTGAGTCCCTTCATTCTCTCTTAATCTCTTTATTTGGACTTTACTGAGGTCACTGAGGTATGTGTGAACGTATGTGTGCGAAAAGTGTTGACAAAGATCTTTTAGTTACCAAAGAGGAAAGAAGTCCAAAGAGTCGAGGGCTCTGCTGAAAATTATGTTAAGAAGTGAAATGCTTGTCTAGGTTGGGATCATACTGAAAGCATGGAAAGTTTCCTCTTCCTCTCATACACTTACAATTAAGGAAACATTGTTAGTGTGTGTGTGGAACAGTAAGGAAAATGGGGGTGGAGTGGTCAGAACATGTGAAGTTTGAATGGTTCACTTCCTATTACCATGATACGATATACAGGTAAGAGTGCTCACAGAATTCTTGCTAAGTGTCTTCCGTACACTCTGATAAAGAAAAAACACACACCTTCAAATATAACTTCTCTATTAAATCACACATAATACATATAGTGGAGCCCTGGTGTGGACTGCTAACTGCAAGGTTGGTTGTTCAAACCCACCAGTCACTCCTTGAAAACCCGATTGAGGTTGATAGGAACTGACTTGATGATACTTAACAACAACAACACATATAGTTATATATACACACTATACCTATTCAACATTGACATATAATTCGTATACATCACTGTCTGCTATCCCTGCATAAAACTCTGGAGATGTATATAGTGGCTATTGTGTGCTGGCAAGTCGATCTTGACCCATATCAGTTTTTAAGGATAAAGGAGAATTTTATAGAATAACGTAAGGTTTCTAAAACTCTAATGTTTACGGAAACAGACTGCCACATCTTTCTCTTGTGCCATGCTGGCTGGTGGGCTCAAACTGCTGACGTTTTTGGTTACCAGTTGGGCTTGAATATAAGTCAGTGATTACCTGAATAATAATAATAA